TTCAACAGTTGTTGTCTAATTGAAATGCTTAAATCTTGGATCAAGAAATGTAGCAACTAAGGTGATATCTGTTAGAGCTGTCCATAACTCATCTATTAACAAATAAATAGCAGCTCAAACTTTACATAATAAACCAGTAGTAGAAACTAGTAGTAAATATTCTACTTTGTATATATCTTCTAATTCATCATTCTTAGATTATACATGTTTTTTCTTATTTAGTTTCTGACCTTGACTATGAGTAGCTATTTTTTGACAAAATTGCTAGTGTATATATTGCCATTGTCAATGAGTATCAGCAGTAGGAATATCATCATTATCAGTTATTTCATCACTTTCATCATTATTTTCATCTTTCTCACTATAAATAAGATCTAAATATGTGTCAATTGTCTTATCTGTCTCTGGTGCAAATTTATTCTTAAGCAATTCTATATATGGATAAACAAGATTAAGCATTAGATATTTAGCTCCACATAAATGTCGAGTTATTCTTTTAATTGGTTCTAATATACTCACCATTTCTTGCAAAAATCTATATAATAAGAAAAAAAAGATTAAAATATTACTAAAAAATATATATATAAAACTTCAAATAAAACAGAAATTTCAATTTCAAATATTTTATAATCATAGGATCAAATTTTTAAAGAATGCTTTATGGAAATTCAAAATAAAATATTTATCGTATAGGGCTGCACAAAGTTAACTTTATTTTGTATTGTATGGAATCTGAAAATTGGGATAGTTATTCAGATTTTTTTTTAATTACTGAAATTAATAAAAATAGAATAATGTTCACATCTAATGTACTCAAAGTTAATTTTTTTATTTTATGTAACAAGGAAACAGAAAATTGGATTCGATCATATTTTTTTTCTGTTAATCCTATCGAATAATTAATTACTAGAAGATTTTAAATATGAAAAAAAAATACATATTACTCTGGTTATATCGACATCTAGATATACTAATATCTGGCTATAACGACACTTTTTAAAATTTTAATCCTATATACTTAATATGAAAATGTCTGATTAAACTAATATCTGGATATATCAGACAATTTTTTTATTTTTTTGAGATGTTGATATAACCAGTGATATGTTTCAAAAATCGAATAATTGGCATAATTGGAATTTAAAAAAAAAACTATTTTGAAAAATTCAAAAATAGGTTAGTTAGGTAATACAACTGAAAATCACTTTGCACAGCCTATAATATAGATTTAATTAATAATAAATATAGTTTTAATTACTCTTTTTCATTAACTGATAAGCATAATCTTTCTAATTTTTCTCTTTCTTTTTTCAAAAGTCGATCTGATTTAGCAAGTAATGAAGT